CTTCGAAGGGTAGAAGAAGCGCGCTTTCCATAATCTTTTCTTTTAATAAAATAAAAAAAATTACTTCACGAGCGATGTTTTTTGAAATTTCCTTTAAGAGTTTCGGAAATTCGATCAAATTCACTTTCTTTTACTAGGCTCATCTCGTGCTCGAGCTCGTGGTGTATGGAAGGACTAAAAAAAAAAAAATTGAAAACTTGAACAAAGTTGTTCGCATCAATGTACAAATCTACACCATATGTTGACTTTTAAAATAAATATTGATTACATAAAAGAAATAAATTTCATTCCGCTAATGAGTCCTATCCTAAGCTAACTCTTGATAAGATCAGTACACTCGTTGCTGAGATCTGAAAACGCCGACTTCAAAAAAAAAAGAGTTTCAACAAAACTGCAAAAAAAAGTTTCACTTTGAAATAGTGATGCATGCGTAGTAGATAAGCTACTAACAGAAAGTTTCAAAGGTTTCCTTCGCCCAACTGGTCTGAAACTTTAAGGTACTTTAAGGGAAATAAATTTTTTTTGAGCCGTAGTAGTAGTAGATGCAATAGAGGTAGATCATTCCGAAGTTATATCCCGATTGACTTTTTGATTGAAACTATAACAAAATATTATTAAAATGTTGTACTAAACATATATGGGGACAAATAATAAAAAAAAATCCGTTTAACTCATAAAAGCCGAAATTGAAGACAAACCTTTCTCAGCTTCAAGAGTCAACCGATAAAGCGGTCTTCCTGGAAAGCCATGCCCAATCGTATGGAGTTAACTCAGTCAAAGAGACGCCCCGACTCAGTCAGAGAAACCCATAAAGAACGAAATTGAGGACAAACCTTTCTCAGCTTTAAGAGTCAAGCGATAAAGCGCTCTTCCTGGAAAGCAACGCCCGATCGCATGGAGTTAACTCAATCAAAGAGACGCCTCGACTCAGTCAGAGGAACCCATAAAGACCGAAATTGAGGACAAACCTTTCGCAGCTTGAAGAGCCAACCGATAAAGCGGTCTTCTTGGAAAGCAATGCCCGATCGCATGGAGTTAACTCAGTCAAAAAAGCGCCTCTTTTCCCCTCTAGAAGTTCTCTGAACACCTTTGCTAACATTACGAACGCTCTCGATTTTTGAATTACCTGAAATTATGCAGCGTTTTTACATCTTTTGTCCAGGAAATGCCACAACTTGGAAATAACGCTAAGTAATATTTTGCGTAATGCGTAATTCTGGGTGGCCGCAGCGGAATATAATGTGAATAAATAATGATTAAAGGAACTTTTTCGTCATATTGCTAAGCATGTTTCCCAATCTCTTTTCCTTCTCCTCCGCTCCTCTTCGTCTCCCTCCGCAGTATTAATTCATTTATCGTACTATAGCTTACTGCTCGAAAGTAGTACAACTTTCCGGCGGATACTCTGTATTACGGATATATACATTTCGGCAGATACTCTACATTACGGATATGCAATTTAAATAATATCCTTATCCACTTCACTTGGAGCGAATAAAAGGTCTATGTATTTTCTCTTATCATTGGTGATGTTGTCCTTGTATTCAAACCTTCAGTTGTTTATGCTCAAAGGTTTTTGATTTTTCGAGTTGCATTTTAGTGTTTTGTTCTTTTCAAAATTTTTTCCTATACACACATACGTTCACAAATTTTAACACCAAGTTCATTAACATATATTTCGCCTTCAATATTAAGGACGACGATAAGGAAGGAAGGATTCATATAACGCAAAACGAACAAATAGCTTCAAACGATGTTTCCCCCCTCCCCAATTGTCGTCCTATTTAAAGACGCATGTATATGCGCCGAGTATGTTTAGATTCAATTTTAATTTTTCTCAATTTTTTCATTCAAGAGTACGTTTGTTGTTGTTTTTATTTAACTTCTACAAGCAAAGCGGCAGCGCACTCCTCCGTTCCTTGCACTGAATTTTTTCAATTGTTCATGTTTGTGCATTCAAACGCATATACACACACGTACACATACATACACACAACAAACACGCATAGATTTGTTATGATTAAATACAAACATACATACATACATACATACATACATGTAAGTACACATGACAGAACATGCATTTGATTGTTGGTATTTGTTAAACAATCAAAAAAAAAAAAAAAAACCAAAAAAAGAGGAAAAAATTTGAATGATTTCTTTTCCAATGCTTGTGTAAGAGTTTTGGCAAGATGTACGTATGTTCCATTCTTTTGACTGTGTTCCGCAGGGCTTTGAAGATTCCTTCTTATGCTATACATGCTCTCTGATGCTTCTTTTTTTTTTTTTTCTATTCGTATTTTTTAATGAATGCTTAGGAATCTCTTTCTTTGTGATTAAAATTTGTTACAAAATAATTTGTGTTTTAATACTTTTTCTCTTTTTTTTTTTTTTTTTTTTTTCATTCCAATCACTGGAATAATAAAGGTACTCTAATTTCGTCATTGCATTTGTAACACAGACGAATATAAGAATTAAGATATGATAAAAAATATTTAAGATCTAGAGGTGCGAAGAAGTCTTAGTCTGAAGGATTTTCCAAGAGATCGGATGTAATACAAGGCGACTTTACATTCCCAGTAGCGTATTTGGGCTTAATGTTACACTCCATATGATCTGACGCTAACGTTCACAAAAGAATTTTTGTTGCGCGGCCGTTTGTACGACCATAAAGTCAACAACGATCAGGACCAATATTTATGGAGGCAAACTCATATTGATTATTTCGAGTGATCGGCTGGGTATAGTCTATTCTGAGATGTTTCAGTTCTACAATATGGAAGGGTTGAAGGGGAATTGAATCGATCCTTAAAGGCAGAATATGCTAACAATACCGTCATAGCCGATCTGGGAAAAAGCATCAAAAGCGGATGTTTATATATATATTTATATACATATATATATATATATGTATATATATATTTTTTTTTTTTTTTTTATTAATTAAAAACTAAAAGTTAACAATTTCGATGAACCACTTAGAGAACGTTCCCCGTCAGAGAAGTGGTATTTGTTATTCTTTTTTTTTAACTCAAGAAAGTACCTGTGTTTCAGTTTTCCATGTTAAATTTCGCATTAAAAGGTTAGAGACGGCCATAGCTAAATCCAAAGGGTTTCCCCTACAATTTAAGAAGTAATTGAAATGGATGCAGTCCAGGAAAAAAGTTTCTGAGTAGTAGCAAGTGGAATTGCTGGATTTGCGATCCGAAATAGTTTCATCATATCCAAGTGTTTTCTTTGTTGAATTGATTGCATCGTTCCTTGTTACATAAGTAGGTAAACCCAACAATTTTAATGTATCTAACTTTCGTACTAAGACGATTATAGTATTCTTAGCTCTTGTTTTCTTTTAATTTCTTTTCTTTTTGTTATTTTACTAATTGAAAGAAATTTCAAGAAACTAAGTAACAAAAAAAGAAATTAAAAAACCCATGAAATTCTTATTTTAAGCAAAGAGCGCGTTTTCGTTAATGAAGAAATTTCGCTAATGCGTTCTCGCAGGCAGTCTCCCCCCAATGTAAACAATTTTAAAGTTACTTTCATTTTATTCAAGTGAAACATCAAAAGAGCCATTAATTACATTTCAAGTCCATTCACTACTGCATTAATATTATTGATTAGAGCAATTTTTCTATAAGAAGCATAACTCGCGTAGTAAGCGTAGATTAATAACCACAAATATAAGATTTGCCTTTGCCAAGAAGAAGAAGAGAAAATGTTTCGATTAAGAATTTTGTACAGGATTTGTAAAAATGTACTGCCATCGATTGCTTGTACAAAAAACACGAGGAAGTTACGAGTTTTTTTTTTATGAAATTCGTACATCAATTTTGTTTCGAACATAGATTTACTATTAAATGCAAGACGAGAATGATTTAATAATTTATTATGAGGAAAGGAGAAATTCGCGACTACTAAACCCAGCCAATGTTGAGGGCCAATCAATCTTATCGTTTGTTTGCATATGCTTTCCGTATAAGTACGTAGCGACAGAAAAACGATAGCAGACCATGTTCACCGTTGCTAATAATGTTCAACTAAACTTTATATTTACATATGCTAAAAATGAATTTCCATTTCTTATTTCCGAAAAGCAAAGACAGAGAGAAAGAAGACGAGCTATGTAAAGAAAGTACCAAAAATGAAAATATGTTCGATCTCGTGTTTGTCGTGTTCTCCGCCTGCCGTTACAACACTGACTCTTTTGACGGATGCAGAGATCAAGCGTAATCTCAACCGTAGCTTACAATTGTTTTTATATTTAAAATAGAATCGATTTTCTCTAAATAATTTTAGTCGCGATCTTGTAAAACGATTCCCTCTGGCCATAGAGTTGGTCACTCTCAAGGAATGCCAGTTCACGAATAATGTGAAAAGTTTCTATTGGTGATAGCAGGCCGGAATGTTTTCTAACATGTCCGTTTAAAACGTAAGGAAACGGAAAGGAAAAAAAGGGAAATGAAATGACAGAAAAAGAGAAGGAAAGATAAGGAGCGGAAAGAAAAAAAGATGGAAGGAAAGGAAACGAAGGAAAAAGGAGGCAAACAAAGGGACGGAAAAGAAAGTGAAAGAAACGAAGCGATAGCAAAAGGGAAGAAACCAAAGGAAAGAAAATGAACGGAAAGGAAAAGAAAGAAAAGGAGAGACGGAAAAAAAGGAACGGAAAAGAGAGGGAGGGAATCGAAACGATAGCAAAACGGAAAGAAACAGATGAAAGAAAAGGAAAGAAACAACAAAAGGAAAGGAAAGAAAAAACTAAAGGGAAGGAAAGAAAGAACGAAAGGAAAGGAAAAGAAGAGCGAAAGGAAAGTAAGTAAGAACAAAAGGAAAGAAAAGAAATTACAAAAGGAAAAGAAAAAAGAACGAAAGAAAAGACCGAACAAAAGGAAAGGCAAGAACAAAAGGAAAGAAAGGAAAGAACAAAAGCAAATGAAGAACAAAGGGAAAATGAGAAGAAAAGG